TATACATGAATAATAAGAAATCAATAATCATAGTTTTAAAAATTCTCAAAGGCCAGCTATGGCATATAATATTAGTTTAAAATTATTTGGAGTCCCAGATACAAGGGGCACACTTCCAAGTTATCTCCCACAGGCCTCCACTGGCTGCTCACAAGAAACAAAAAGGGAGAGTTGGTGGTGCTAGCATGTAGGAGATGATCAGCTGCTGCTGAGAGACAAGCACAAAGCCCATCCCAAACCTTTCTTTCAAGGACACAAAAGCCTTAAGCTCCTGGATGTACAAGCTGCAAACCTTCTCATCCCAATGGCTCAGGCAAAGATCTGCTGCTACTGGAATAGGGGTTGAAGTAGAAACCTCTGCCCCTGGAGAAAGGGTAAGAAAACTTCTTGTCCCCAGAATTCACACCAATACCAAGCAGAGGTTTCCTGCCACTGGAGTACCTAGTGACAGAAGTCTATTTTGTATCACAGACATACAGTAACTGCTGGAAGCTGCGAATGAAACAGCAACACTGAACAATCTCCTCCAGCACCCCATCCTTGCTTTCAGCACATTGTAAAAAATATCCTACTTCTGGAAGAATATGAAGCCTGTAGAATACTAAAAATTGTAAGAGAAACAACAAAATCCAAACCCAGCTCAACTTCTAGCTAAATTAACTTAACATTGCACACTAATGGCCTGATAAAAAAAGAGGTGTGCCCATTTATGTGTTTAAATATTACTTGAGTCTCTACTGTTCTTATATACATACTGTCCAGTATTCAATGAAAAATTATGAGATACACAAAAGGCAAGAAAGGGTAAACCACTGCTTTAATCAAGAGATAAAGTAATCAAGAGAGCCAGAATCAAAGATGAGCCAAATATTAGAACAGAACTATCAGATGGAGAATTTAAAATAACTATGTTTAATATGTTGAATGATCTAATGAAAAAAATAAATAACATATATAAACATAAAAATAATTTCTTCAGAGAGATTAAAATTATTTTTAAAAAGTCAAAGAGAAATGCTAGAAATAAAAAACACAATATCGGAGATGAAGAATTCCTACAGTTGGATCATCAGTTGGATCGGACATAGCTAAGGAAAGAATCAATGACTTAAATATACCAATAGAGATTATTGAAACTAAAACACAAAGGAAAAAAAGTAAACAAAACCAAACAGTGGATGTAAGAGCTCTGAGAAAACATATGGTCACAATTCATCTAATGTATGTATAATTAAAGTCCCAGAAGGAGAAGAGAGAATAGGAAAGGAGAAATATCTGAAAAGATAATGACTGAGACTTTTCTGAAATTAATGAAAGACCACAAACAACAGATCCAAGAATCTCAGAGATTCTTAAGTAGGGCTTTTAAAAAGTACACATACCTAGACATACTATATTTAAACTGTTGAAAACAAAAAATAAAAAGGAAATATGGAAGGCAGCCAGAGGCCGGCGGGGGAGGGGAGGCGGTTAGGGAGAATTTCAATATAGAGAAACAGATAAGAATTAAGAGTCCACTTTGAAACTATGGAAGCTAGAAGACAAGTGACATCTTTAAAATACTGAAAGGAGAAATTATTTTTTAACATTTTCGGTGTGATAACAGTGCTGTGATTACATACTTTTTTTCTCTCAATAGCTGTTAAAGATTCACACTAGGGATTGCTTCATAATAATCATGGAGGAGGGCTCCCTATGTGGGTCAAGCAAGATTGACCATGAGATGATGATGGTTGAAACTAAGTGATGGACACAAGAGAATATGGTATGATATTTTCTCTCCTCATAATTTTTTTTAAATTTCCATAACAGCAAATCTTATTAAAAAATGAAAAACTTTTTTAAAAGAAGTGGGCAGAAGAGATGAGTGTATCATAGTACATATCCCATTAGATTTCTTCCTTTCTTTCTTTTCCTTTCTTTCTTTTTCTCTCCCTCCCTCCTCCTCCCTCTTGTCCTTTCTGTCTCCCTGTCTCTATCCCTCTCTCTCTTCTTCCCTCCCGCTCCCTCTCTCTCTATCTATTTATTTATTTGCCTCTAATCAACTCTTCTGCCAGCCTTGGATTCACAGTGGGCTCATAGGTCTCCAAACTGGGCTCACAGAGTGCTGCAGCCGCCCTTTCCAGTTACATCAACACAACAAAGCCTACCAGTGCCAAAGCTCTCTTCTCCACACAGGGAGCACCGTCCTGAGTCCATCAGATTTGAGAAGAATCTCCATCCAGCTGGGGTCTCATATACCGGGACCTTCATTGCTTTGGCCACTCTGAAAAATGAAATCCAAGGCAATAGTCAATTCATATATCTCCTTTCCTTTCTTGTCTCAGCACAAAAGTCTTCAGGATCTATTAGCTCTATAACTAGATTTCAGAACATCCTGAACAATGTTGACAGTCTTCAGGATATCAAGCCATAAGGGAGAGAATGATAAATAGTCTGATCCAATGGTTCTCTATTTTGTTTTCTTTATAATCTATAAAATATTAAGTTAATGTATAGAATATTCTGACACTTATGTTCTCCTTCTACAAATGTTCATTTATCTTTGATTTGGGGATCTTAATCTACATTAAAATGGTATTTAGGTTCAGACACTTTGTAATATTGTTTGACAGTATCTACTAAAGATGAATATACACATATCCTGTGAACAAGCCATTCAATTTCCATAAATTACTAATGACATGTAATGGACACAGTGGTGCACCACTCAGCTTCAGTGCTACATGCAATAACCTGAATGAATCTCACATGCATAATATTGAGTAAAAACAAAACAAAACAAAACAATAACAAAGGCATATATACTGTATTGTTCCATTTAGATAAAATGCAAAACCAGTTAAAACTAATCAATGTTATCAAAATTCAGGCTCAGAGGATCAAAGAAGTCAAGTACTTTATTCAGATCTCACAGAAGTAAAGGGCAAAGCTAGAATGTAGACCCGCATTTGCTTAGTTTCTGCTCATGTTCCATTCCCCTACATCATGATGTCTCTCCAAATGTTTTAGTGCTTTGAGAGGTAGATAGATCTCAAAGCATGCTGAGACATTGGCCTGAAGAGTTTTTATCTTTCCCACATGCAAGCAACCAAAACAGAAAAACACCAAATGCCTGCCATCAGCAAGATTTAGTTCTTTGAAGGCTGTATGTAAGTGCAGAGGGTAGCCATGGAGAGGAACCAGTGAGAGTGTCTTTGTAAAGAAGAGGAAGAGAGATGCACATGGGACAAAGGACTCAATGTAACAATTATTTCTTTAAATGTGGTTTATAGCCCGCACCTTTTAGATGTTTGAGTGTTATATCAAAGGTTCTGTTTTCTCCTTATTTCAATGGTCTAAGAAAGATATACATGTTTATATCCTGGTAGGAACAATGAAAGAAATCCTCCAGACACTGTAGAGCAAAGGTAAATTTTCAGAGCCATTAATTTCATAGTCAGAAGCTTAAGGAAGGAGGAATAATTCACACAGAAGCTTTCCAGGGGGAGCACACGATAAAGCCTGGGCCAAAATTAGTTTAGCAAATATGAATGCATATAATTATCAAATAGAATGGGGAACATGGGGCAGAGGTGAGCATGGAGGGTGTGGGGATGTATATCCTCTGGCCAAAACATTCTTGTAGATTCAAAGCCAAGTTGGCAGATCTGAAGGGAGGAGAAAAGATTTCCCCAGCTCCCACCCTCCCCAATTAATCACTGTCAGGAGGTCAACAGGCTGGAGGCCGAGGGTGGATTTTAAAGAACTGAATATTTTTATAACTATAAACCACAGTTGGAGCTATGCAATCTAAGATAACAATGTCAGTAATTAAATCTCAGGATCTTGAGTATGAGTTGATTGTGTCCTAAAGTCATAAAGAAATTCCTCTCCTTCCTCCCTCTAATGAATTTGGGATCCATCCCAAACAGCACTCAGCAGATACCATTCTCCAGATTGGTTTTTGGCAGGAGGCCCTCAGGAGTCTCTGAAACCCTCTGGTACACAAGCTCAAAATCAAGCTGCTTCATGCTGAGGGTCTGCACCCCTGTCTTTGCCTGCTGCCACCATGTTTTGAAGGCACACATAAGAACTTTCTAGGAAAGAACAGATTATGAAGGGAAAAAAAAGAAAATAAACCTGGGCCACAATTTTTCTGCAAGTGGTAGTGAGCCCTAGTAGCCAAAAAAATGGTGAATATAAGCTTCTCAGTGTGGATTTTAAAACTTCTAAAAATGTGGCTCAGGTTGGAAATAGCCTCAACCTATCTTTCTAAGTTTTTCCCATGATACTCCCTACATGCTCCTAAAAAAATGGACCATCTCTTTTTTTGCAATTACAGTTGATATTCAATATTATTTTATATTAGTTTCAGGTATACAGCATAGTGGTAAGACATTTATATAATTTACGAAGTGATCCGGCCAATAAGTCTAGTACCCACCTGGCACCACACATAGCTCTTACAATAGTATTAACTATATTCCCTATGCTGTACTTTACACCCCCTTGACTCTTCTTTAACTACCAAATTGTATTTCTTAATCCCTTTACCTTTTTCACCCACTCCCCGACACCTCTCCCATCTGGCAGCCATCAGTTTGTTCTCTGTATCTGAGTCTGTTTCTAAAACTGGACCATCTATTTCTCAAATATACCCTTGCATTTTTTGTTTACTTCTGAGTCCTTCTTCATGCTTTTCATTTTACCTAGATTAATCCTCCTTTCCAATCTAAATACTTCAAGACCTATCTAAAATGCCCTGCCATCATGAAGCCTGTGGCAAAGGCTACTAGGTGATCAACAAACCCACCTCTTCTCTTAGACACACAGCTGGACTACACCTCCTGACCTCTCTCACAGTTAGCATGTGGCCACATAGTGGAGTTCTATCCAATCGAACTTGAGTGGAAATGACATATACCCTTTTCAGATCTTACTATTAAGATTTCAGATCTTACCATGTTCTTTCTCCTTCTGCTAGCTTAATGTCGACAAGGCCAGAAATCCTAGAAAATACATGTTGAAGATGGTGGACCCACAACATGGAAAGATTTGGATCTCTGAATCATCATTTGAAGCAGAATGAACCACCAATCAGGAAATCCTGTTTTTAACTTCTGATGATTGAGAAACAACCTTTTGTTGTGTTTGATTCATCAGATGTTTTGAGATTAGTTTTATAGCAGAAGCTCCATTATGTTAACACATACAATCCTTCTCGTCGCCATAATTAATTCAAAGTAATCATTCCTGACACTGGGTTTCCTCTAAGTTGGTATGGGTCTTTATGTTCGCATTGTCATTATATATGTTGCTACCTCCTTAATACTTTCCCTCAACACAAAGACACTACCTACCTCTACCACCAAAGTGTTAGAAGTACTTTGAGGTAGAAACTGCAGCTTATATACCTTTATAGCTCTTCAATGAATGTCTAGGATAATACAGCACTTTGTCAGACTTGTCTTCAATAAATTCTGTATATTTTCAGTTGACTAATATCTTATTATTTAAGGTGTGTTGTTGGATAGCAGAACAGAAAGTATCTCTATTTCATGGTCTTTTGTCTTTGTAGGTTCCTAAAAATATAGTTAAGTCATTTCTGCATGTTTTATTTAAATTAGTCAATTAGACAAAGAGAATTTCTCCAGGCATTTAATTAGTGGGGCTATTAAGATGACACAAAGACATTTCTTAGAAATAAGGATCTTAGAGAATTAGGGCAGTGAACAAATGAAAATCAAAGATTTGAGGAATAAAGGTTTCTTTAGCTCATAAAAGAATAGCTAAATAAACAATGACTGATTGCATCAAGTTCATGAGGCATACCCAGCTGGTCTTGGAATCTTACTTCAAGAAAGTTGTAATTGATTTAAAGAGGACAAGATCTAAGTTCTTCTTCCTTCTATTTGTCTTCACCTGTCCAGTTTCTTGAAGGCCAAGCAGGGCTCATAGTTCCATTTTCTATGCACTGAATTTCAGCCCTTTTTTAAAAAGCTTCCACCTGCATAGACTAGAAGATATTTGCATCACATATATCCAACAGAAGACTGAACATGCAGTTTACATTAAAAACAAAACAAAACAAAACAAAACAAAACTCCTATAGATCGGTAGTTTACATTAAAAACAAAACAAAACAAAACAAAACTCTTATAGATCGGTAAAAAAAGGTAGATAATCTTTTTTAAAAAAAGACATAAGTCTTGACCAGGCACATTACAAAAGAGAATATTCAAGTGACAAATTAGTGTATGAAAAGATGCTCAACATCATTAGAAACTGAGGAACTGCAGAGTAAAACTTCAATGAGATGTCGCTACACACCCACAAGACTAGCTGAAAAGAGTGGTACTGCCAAGTGCTGGTGAAGATTTGGAACTCTCACATATTGCCAAGGGAATGCCAATCAGTACCAACTATGGCATTATGTGATATGTTTACACAGGGGAATGGCATAGAACAGAGAAAATAAACTACCACTATGTAGAAATACATGAATGAATCTCATAAACATAATATTGAGTGAAAAAAGTCAGACACGGGATTATATACTGCATGATTTCATTTATAAATAGTTCAAAAATAGACAAAACTGATCATTAACACTGGTCCGGGAAATTATTTTTTGGCTCTGACACCAAAAGCACAAGCATCAGAAGCACAATTAAACAATTGGGACAACATAAACAAAAAGGTATTGCACAGCAAAAGAAACAACCAACAAAATTAAAAGGCAACCTACAGAATTGGAGAATGTATTCACAAACCCCATATCCAATAAGGGGTTATTATCCAAAATATATAAGTAACTCTTACAACTCAATAACAAGAAAACAAACAACCCAATTAAAAAATGGGCAAAGGATCTGAGCAGACGTTATCAAAAAGGCAAGAGTAAGACCCGGTAAGGATGTGAAGAAAAGGGAACTCAGTGCGCTGTTGGTGGGAATATAAATTGATACAGTCACTATGGAAAACAGGAAGTTCGTCAAAAAATTCTGGGTATATATCCAAAGGAAATGAAAACAGAATCTCAAAAGATATCTGCCTTTCCATGTTCTCTGCATCATTATTCACAATAGCCAACATATAGAAACAACCTACATGTCTGTCAACAGATAAATGGATGAAGAAGATGTGGTACTACGTATATACAATGAAATATTATTATTCAGCCATAAGAAAAGAAATCCTGCCATTTGTGACAGAATGGATTAAACGAGAGCATTCTACTAGGCGAAATAAGCCAGACAGAAAGACAAATACTGTATGATATCA